GGGAAGTAACATTGACTTTAGTAAAATCGGGTTACTCTATGTGTAAAAAAATTGCGGAATCTATAGTAATACTTAGGGAGCTAATGGAGTTAATGCATCTACTCCTAATGTAATCTTTAATATGATGGTCCATATACTCCATAAGCAGAAATATTTTTACAGCTCCAACTATGCTACTTTTCCCAATTTCTAGCCTTACTTATGTCATTAAAGTCCTGTGCCGAAATTGACTTAGCACAGTGGCTTCCAAACTTTTCCTAGTCGCGGCCCCCTTTTTCAATTAAAATTTCTCCATGGCGTCCTACCCTTAGTATGACTATTCGTACGTAAGAGATAAAATAAATAAAACTCGTGTATCTTAATTTTTTTACTTTATTAACATTAAAGTAATATGTAATAATTAATGTGATGGATGAGCCTGCAAATCACTGCACATTTTCTCAAATTGAAGCTTTTACAATATTTCGCGGCGCACAGTTTGTGAATCACTGTCTTAGCACATAGATAAATAATCTTAATGTACTAAGAGAGATTTGTCAAAATGATCCATAAAAGTATTGTAGTAACCTGCACCTTTAGAACCTAGTTATTTCAGCATTTTATAAAATTTAACTATTATAGATGTCAAAGAAGGCGACAAATGAGTGAGTAAATTCCCAGTCCAGATATCTTTTTACTCATCCAGTAATATATAAACTAGAGCACATAACTGTACAAAAATCACCAAATTTTTACTGTACTCATTTTTTTTACCTGTTAACATTAATTGAACTCAGTATAAACTAAAATTAGGATAGGTGGGTATAAGTTGTTCACTTTTTCTATATTAATTCCTCATTCATTTGTCAAAATATATTTGACTGACCCGATTTATGGACTTCCAGCAACATTCTAGATGTATCCAATATTATCGTGAAGCTCATTAGTGAATAAAAACTCGTAAACAGACCAATAAATAAAACAACTCTAATAAAAGTTGTAGGCATGGAGGCAATTTCAATAATAGATTTCAATCTTAGATAACTGATTTATTAGTAGTCTCGAAACTCTACTTACATACAAAAAATAAGTAACGTAGTCGATTGTTATAGCAAAAATACGTTTACTTCATTGACAATCCCACCAAAGAAGGTGATATGCGAAAATCGCCTGGCCTTCCTCGAAATTCACATATGCCATGTGACCCAAGGGTACTCGTGGCGATGTGTTCGAGTGGTTAACGTGTCAAGCTCCCATTCTGCCCTGTCACGGTTAGACTCCCGCTGGGGGTGTTGATAAGACAGATGCGAAGTCGAAAGTGCAGTCCACCCCGGATGATAACAACTTTTGGGAAACCATAGCTATGTGAAATTCAATGAAAATATCAGCTCTACTCATATCGTTGTTGGAAAAGTTTACTACTTCATCTCTTATTTTCAATAAAAGGCGAAGATTAAAAAATGTTAAGGTGACAAGACTAAAGACCTAAACAGAATAAAAAAGTATCATCAATAACATTGAAAAGAATAGCAGCAAAAAGGAAGTAAATAGTATAAAAGCGTCAATAATAAATGAAAATTGAAGAAATTACAATAAGTAGAAAATGCTTTGAAAGTTTCTCATAGTATTTTTAATTAAAAAAAGTATCTTACCTTTATTTAAAATAAGTAGTACAATATATTTGAGATTTATATTTTATATTTACTTTTTTTAGTTATATCTATTATGATCGTCCTAAATTAGCTTGAGTAATAGAGATAGCTTATTATTTAATGGGCATGTAGCTACAGTATACATTTATATTCGAAGAAGAGTTGGATTTCGAGGAATCTCTTGTTTCATAATTGTTGAGCTTACCTCTCGGAAACAGCGTCCGCATGAATCTTCCAGTAAAGCCAATCGACAGCTGGTCAAGAGGAATCCGTCGTCGTCTTCTGGTGGAACCGACCTTCGAATCTCTTCACCCAACACTTTCACTCAAAATGAAAGTAAGCTCTACATTTAGATTTAACTTAATGTGCTTCATGAACGATGGAGATAGAAGTGTAATGTTTTTAGATATGCCAAGCTTCTTTGTAATCACCTAAGTCTAAGTGGTGGTGCTTATAATGCCTACAAGTAATTGAAAATATTGTTTAATGGCGGCTTAAATGAAAAGTTCATAAATATTTCAGGTAGTCTCGAAACGCTACTTAAATACGAAGCATAAATATTATGCCAATCCTCAAGAAACCTGTCAGCTTTGCAAGTCGATTTGTTACGCGATATGCTAAGTTCGGAGGAAAACACATAACAACTAAGCCAACCCCTGCTGAAGAGCTATAGCTTAATTTTGAGTTAACTTTCAATGCTCAAAGCAATACTCTTAACTATTTGACACATTTGAGCTGAAGGATTTTTGACCTTTCCTTTGTGTTATTTCTAAGTCGCGATGACAAATAATCTGGCCCCTATTTGCCAAAATAAAGCTAAAAATATAAATGTCTAATTCCATTTCCTACCGAGTTTTTAAAAACTAATTCGGTATAAAAAGGCCTTTTCGTCTTGATTCTGGAAGCTAAGTTCCTCCTCACTGTGTGCTCTCTCGGAATACTCATTTCTATTTCTTACATATTTGCATCGCATTTTCGCCCCAGGTTAGTCGGTTAGTTGTTTCTGAGATCATTTCTCGGCCAGATGTAAGTGAACGTGCCAGTTGCATCGAAAAGTGGTCAGCCATTGCAGACATATGCCGGTGCATGCAGAATTACAATGGAGTACTGCAAATCTGCGCCGCCCTGGTGAACAGTTCTGTGCATAGGTTGCGGCGAACATGGGAGCGTGTTAACAAGCAGACTCGAGCTTCGGTTGACAGACTTCAAACACTGGTTGCCTCAGACGGAAGATTCAAAAACATGCGAGAAGCCCTGCATCGGTGAGTATAGAGTCCACTTTATGTTGATGATATATTCTAGGATTAAATACAAAAAATGAGTAACGTAGTCGATTGTTATAGCAAGTATACGTTTGCTTCATCGACAATCCCCCCAAAGAATGGGATATGGCAAAAGGCGTCCCCTTTCTTGAAGTTCACATCTGCCCTGTGAGCCAAGGAGTCTGAGGCTAGCGGATAGCAAATATTTGACTAAAAAGTTGGAACGGCTAACAAATTTATTCGAAGGTATGAGGACCAAGATGGTGTGGTCTTTTGTGTGGTCGCAGTCTCCTTTCGTTGTATAGAAGTTGTTTGACTTTGTTTTCGCAACTTGGTCAATTATATGAAGACTTAGAGGAACGCACCTAGTGCGGAATCCATTGTATGCACACTCATTTCCAAAGTCAGACCGTGGACGTGGTACATTCCCAGACGTTTCGCCGGCATCGTCAGTGAGTTTTGCCATTCTTAGCACCACACTACAAATCGTCAAAGACAAGTGAAGCCAATCCTTTGACCAAACGTGTGCTAAACTGTTGTTGTATCTCCCCTTCTGCCTTGGGCTATTTGCATTTCCTATATTTTTCTATCACACCTTCACTGTCACTATTCTTATTGAGATGTATTGTGGTGTGCTCCTTTGAGCGGCATTTATACAAACCCTTCCCATACGACTCTGTAGTTTTCACCCCCTTCATTCTTGTGCTGGGAATGTTGATCAGAATCTGCCACATTGTTACGTAGTCCTCCTTTCCCAGGTCTTATCACAGTCTCTCTCTTGCCCCGTAGGATCCGTCTGCTCTCTCCCGGTTCACGTATTTCACACGACCGCCGCCACCCCATCTGTACTACTAGAGGCGTTATTCGCTGTCCCCTGCGTCTGGGTGACTAATTCGAGGCTAAAGCCTCCGAGCAAGTATCATCGTCAAGCCTTTGCTACATGAACCACGTCTATGGTACAACAGACCTACTGTCGGCAAACTAGCTCCTGTCTCCGCCGCGTCTATCCTCTTTATATCCAAGTCTATGACTTCTTAAGCCCCAGTCTTTTGTATGCCAACCCACAAATGTTGTGGTACTGCTTGCTTTGATTATGTTTAATGTTGAACCACAATGTTTGTTGGTTGGCACAAAAGAGACTGGGCATGAAAAGTCATAGACTTGGTATTAGGTATAAAAATAGGATAGACGCGGCGGCGATGAAGCTAGTGCGCTGACAGTATAAAGTCTAAGAGTGAAGGCGTGATGGGAGTATATAGGAAATGTGAATAGCCCAGGGCAGAAGGGGGGATATCACAAATGTTTAGCACACGCTCAGGAAAAGGATCGGCTTCACTTGTCTTTTTGACGAGTTGTTGTGTGGTGATAAGAATGACGAGACTCACTGACGATTCCGGTGAAACGTCTGGGATTGTACCACGTACACGGTCCGACTCTGGAAATGATGATCCATACAATTGACTCAGGACCAAGTTGCGAAAACAAGGTCAAACAATTTCTAAAAACGTAATTTTGATTCACGCATTTCAGTAAAATAGAATAAAACTTTAAATTCCATGAGTAATAATATTAAATATTCAGATTTTTAAATGGACTCTGTCTTTTTGTGATATAGATAAAGTAGTTTTACTTGTACATAGAAAAACTTTTGCAGGAAATTTCTCTATTTGTTAATAAGACGAGCTTTCTACTGTTGTGGAAAAAATATTACCATAGAAGATTTGTCATCTGCAACGCTACTCTAAGATTAAGCAGCTTAGAAATTGGAAGATATAATTAAGAAAGTTTTGAAAATAATTAGTCAAACCGCTCATTGCTGTAACATTTAAGCCCCATTCTATTTTTTATTCAGACTGATTGATTTGTGCCTTGATTTTAAAAGGACAGTTGATTGAAATGCATTATAGAAAAACATGTTTTCTAGGACCACTATGATGTGTGCATTGAGTTACGTACTTAAGCACCATTCTTTGGAAGTAACATGCGAAGGAACTTCGCAGTGAGGATAGACTTTTCGTTACTTATTTGTTGTTGATAATAAATATATTGAAATTTTTATGTTGAGCATGATCAAACTAAAATTTAAGGAACTCATCGATATGAAGATAAAGGAAGTTTAGCTTCTAGTTTGGTCGCACAATCCAGTCGCTATATATAGCTTGTTTGATCTCATTTTTCTGACCTAGTCGTGCTTAAATCGTGATGTTTTCTTAAACATTGTTGTCATCTTATTATTTATTGAATTGCTAACCTTAAAATACCTTATGTTTTTTTCAATAGATGTGATCCACCATGCATCCCTTATCTAGGAATGTATTTAACAGATCTCTCCTTCATTGAAGAAGGAGCCCGGAATTCGAAAGAAAATCATCTTGTAAACTTTTGCAAAATGAGAATGGTGAGTGATTTTGGAAAAATGAATCAAAAGAATGCAAATGACACGGAATAATAAGACAGGCGAAAACAAAATACACTAAAATGCCAATAACGGGAAAATGCTTAGTATGCGATGTTTCATTATACTTTGGTTAATTTTTAGTGTTCGCTTGACCTCGTTTTCGCAACTTAATCGGAGCGTCAGAGAGGCATAGTCCTATGTCCTGTGCCATATTTTTCGTGATTTCCCACATCGGACCATTTGTTTGGTACATTTTCAAACGTTTCGCCTGCATTGGCAGTAAGAAACGGCATCGTTAGCACAGAGTTACTACTTACCAGAATGACAAGTCATTTTAATGTTTTTTTAGTTCATTTTAATGGAAGGAAGTCGAATAGAAAATTACGTGCGTGACAATAAAATATTGAAGTTAACAAAAATTGAAGAAAAAAGGAATCAAAACAGGATGGACAAAAGATATAAAATAGAGAGAGAATGAGGAGGATAGATAAAGGAGAGCTGTGACTAAGAAAGAAGAAACGAGGTGGGAAGACAAGATAAGAGCAGCAGAAATAAAAGAGAGTAGATAAAATAAGAAGAAATGATACGGATAGGTGTTAGAGAAAGTATAAAAGAGTACCTGTAACCTCATTAACTTAAGAAAGAATGCTGTATAATGCGACAGAGGAAGATTAAAAATCTATATCATTTTATTTAACTTACTTTTTTTTCAAGTTTTGGACTACTAGATAATACATCCAGTATCTACAACTAACTGAGCTTTTAGCGCTCATTATAGGCTTTATCTCAGCCTATAAGCTCACAAGATGTATTTTACATTCATGTAAAAGATATAGTTGAGCAACAGAGAAATGAAATTCTCTTTAGACACTTTCAGATGTTGTGGTTTCTCCTTTTGGCCGTCAAATGGCTCTCTTCCATTCATTTACTCTGGATAGTGTTGAGTACCTTGCGATGTCCCATAAGTAGAGATAGAAGCTTCATTTCCATGCAAAAACTTTTTAATGTCCTATATCGGTTCACATTTAAAGGCAAATGACTAACTAATGTTCGTTTCCTGCTGTTGGTTAATCCTAACGTGCCAACCTGCCGACTGATTTATATCCCTTATCTTTTATGTATGGCTATTCAGTACATTTAAAGAGATCTGAAAAATTATCAAAGATTCTATAAAGATAGACTAATGAACATGCGGGTTCATTAAACACACAAACACACACGCACACATCTGGCATGTTAAATTACACTTTACAATATCCAACTTTCTGTGGCATTTGCTGTTTATGGGTTATTATGCACTTATACATAAGTAGAAAAGTAAAATACTATCAGTTTCTTCATTTTTCTATAACTTCACTTTATCTTATTTTTATATGTTTGCTTTCTAATTCATTGATTTGAGTGACCATTTTCCTTAAATGCGGACTTAAGAGAAAATCGAGGTAATAAATGAGTTTGGCAAATCAATACAGGTTTTATGTCTGAGAGTATATTTGCCCGTAACATATTAATTCAAAGAAGTTTGGTCATATCCCAAGAAATTTGCTAGCAATTTAACCATTAATTAATGTCCTTATTAAAAGGTTTTTCCCCAAAAATACGCCCAACGCATTCTAACCTGATTTCAGTATTCATTTATTTATATAGATTTGCTTTTAACTCATATTTTCTACAGATTGCTCACGTTATTCGGGAGGTTCAACAGTATCATCAAACACCTTACTTGATTCAGCACAAACTGGAAGTGAGTTATTTAGCCATTCACATATAACTAGCTTGGAGAGATATTTAAATTTTTATTTTTTGTTTTATAATAAAGAGTTAATATTCTTTTATTTAAGCACTGTGGTTGCTAATAAAGTTAGCTGTAAGGGGTGATTTTCACCTTACTAACTTGTGATGTAATATTTGTCGATTATGAACAGTAATCTCTCCTTTATAAGCGAAGTATAGCCGCATAGCGATGTATGTCTTATGTGGTTTTCCTTAATATTAAGCCTGAGATAGTGGAATTTAATTTTTTGATAATGTATATTCCATCATCTATCGCTAGAACTATAAATGAAA